CCCCAAAACCCCAAAACCCCAAAACCCCAAAACCCCAATTTACTCTCTTCAAGACTAGATATTGATGATGAATATATACAAAGAAGGAGTCTTGGGAAGCACAAGCATCACGGAAGGAATTCAGCTTGCTCTGGCAATATACCTTCTTAGTTCCCTTTGAAATCCATAGGTATCAGTTAAAACGGCTCGTGAATTTTAGAAAATCGTAACTTAATTTTAGTTTTTGAACAAATTTAAACAAGTTATGCTAGGAAAATGAGGGTTTTTACTGGTAAAATCTAGGAAAATTTCTGCATTTTTAAGTTCCCAAACATGAATTTTAAAGGCAAATTTGATTTTTTATGAATTAAGTTAGGATTTAAAGAGCATTAGAAGTCCCTTAAGCTTCCAGTTTGTCTTCTATAGCACCTCCAGAAGGCTTTACTGTACTTTTTTAGGTACCAACAATGGAGTTTATAATGTCTGAGTTGAAGAAATGGCTCTTGGTTGTTGGCCTCTCAGCTGGGTCAAGGCTCAAGCAGGTGGAAAGGAAGTCTCTGAGATCCTTTGAGATAAAGTGACTGTCTTGGATATACTGTTTGAAATATTTCTTTTCTTGATATATTCCTTCAGCCTCATTGAATTCTTCAGTTGTTAAGGATCCCCCTCAGAGAAGGTACCCTATAATACCTATTCCCCAGATGTCTATTGCTGAAGTATATCCAGATTTTGATGTGATTTCTGGTGCTGAATACTTAGGCGTACTGACTTGGGTGTAAAACACTTCATCTCTGATGATATCCTCTTGAGTATTTTTTAGCTTTTTACTAATATTAAAATCCAAAACGCGTAGAGTCATGTTCTCAGTGACCATAATATTCTCAGGTTTAATGTCTCTGTGGCATATCTTTTTGGAATGGAGGTATTTAATAATTGCTCAGAGTTGACAAATAAGATCTTCAATAATTTCTTTAGGTATTTTGCAACAATTCCTGATATAATTGTCCAGTGTCTCACCTTTGATATGCTCCATTACTAGGTATGCTTTGTTCCAGACTTTGTCTACTTTAAAATCAAAAATCTGGGGGAAGAACTCAGAATCAAGTTCTTCAAGAAGGAGTTTCTCCTTCTTGAGGAGCTCGATACTTGTACTGCCACTACAAATCTTGATTGCAACAGAGGTTCCATCCTTGAGCCTAGTTGCTCTCTGGACTTGAGAGTAAGTCCCGAAACCGAGTTTTTCTAGAAATTTATACTCGTTATTTATATCATAAGTCTCTTCAGGCTTGGCAATGAAATCTGTAAGTGATAGAGTCAAGTTCTTCCTCAACAAATTCTTTCTCTTTTTCATGATCAAAGGTGCCTCGTCCTGAAGTGTAGGAATATCTTTAGCAGATTGTGCCTTGTTTTTGCTGTATTTCTTTCTCATAGTAGCTTTTGACAATATGTTCATCTTTAATTGGATAAATATTATTAGAATAAGTTCAGTATGGCTCTGGCATTATGGGGTTTTGGGGTTTTGGGGTTTTGGGGTTTTGGGGTTTTGTGGTTTTGGGGTTTTGGGG